AGGCTATTTCCACATATGTATTTACCTATGCCAAAAACATGTCCATGAATATAGTATAGTACAGAGGGAACAAAGTTATGAAAACTTCTTAGCCATAACCAAACACCTTGAGGGATTAAGTTGCTGGGCTTTTGGGTTCAGGAGCATAGTCTCAGTGAACACCACGATCAGTTGGGGTCTTAAAAACTTGTGAGCAGCTATCTAAGGTACAACTATTGGTCTCTCCCCACTGGAAGTAAAGGAGAGTGAGGAAAATCAAACATGCACGAAAACACTCAGTCTAAAGGACTGAAGGGCCACCAAGAACTAGATGGTGCCCGGCTAACACCACCGGCTGCTCAGAAAGAGACCACATTGCAAGGTCCTGAATAGGATTGTGGAAAAATATGAAACAAAACTCAAAAAAAAAGGTCTGTTGGTCAGATAGAGACTAGTGGAATCTCCCAGATTGTGGACCTTAATCACCCTTCAGGCCTGGAACTGCCCTCAACCGAACGGGCTCAATTTTCAGTCAAACAATACTAAACAACCCACTGCAATTGAGTTGATCCTTACTCACTTGTCGCAACCCTAGAGGACAAGGTAGAGGCGCTCGTGTGGGTTTCTGAGACTGTAATTCTTTAGGGGAGTATAAAGCCTCATCTTTCTCCCACAAAATGGCTGATGGTTTTGAGCTCTTGGGTTAGCTCCCCACCCCCATCCAGTAATGCATTATGTCACCAGGGCGCCTGTTAGTCAAACAATCAATAGGCAGGTCTGTAAGGTGAACAATAACACTAACGAGGTGTGTACTTCTTACATTAATCAACCATATGAGATCAAAAGGGCAGTATTTGTAGGAGGACAAAGTTCAGAAGGCAGATAGAGTTAGAAAAATGGAAATGGAAAACACAGGAAGGGAGTGGAAAAGTGATGCTACATTGTGGGGTTCAAAATCAATGACTTGAAATAAGATGTGTGTGACTTAATAAAAAAGTTGACTTGCTCTGTAAACCTTCGCCCAATTAACTATTTTTTAAAATGTATTTTAAGGGAGGAAAATCTGTCTTTCATTATGAGTTCTTAATTTTATACTGACGTACTTACTTGAAAAAATTAAAATGTAGAAATTAATGTTTATCCGCAGAAGAGTGTGCTTTTGTCATTACTTCCAATTTTATCCAACTGTGAAACTCAAAAGTCTGAAAACTTAGCTTACAGAGTGTGGTCGGACAGAAACGGAGCCACTACTTTCCTATCACATGAACTTTCAAATATAATCGCTAAATTTAGAGAAGAAATACAATAAACAGGATGCTCCACTAGGTTGTTTTTTTTTTTTTTTGCTTCACTAAGTTTTAATTTCAGATAGCTAACAATTTTTGTGTATGTACCAAATATGGGAGGGTACTACTCACACTAAAAATTATTCGTTGTTTTTCTGAAATTCGGATTCACTAAGCGTCCTGTATTTTATCTGACAGCCCTAACTTAGGAAGATTACGTTTCCATTTCTAAAATACATTAAGAGTTTACTAAATTTTACTAGTTTTTGAAGCCCTAGCTGTTGCCACAAGACTAGTTGTAATTTTTAAGTTAATGACTTAAATTCTGGTGGCCCAATATATTCACCTGAAAAATAGGATATATAAAAGCTCTCTCTCAGACTTGATGTAAAGCATAGGAAGAAAATAAGTGTGAAACAGCACCCTAGGGCGTGTCATTTTCATTCCTCGCCCAAGACAAATCCTGTCAAAACTACATATCCCACAATCCCAGGAGGCGTTTCCCCTCCACCCCCCGCGTTACTTCATTCCCTGGCCTCGTTCTCGCCAATCTGGGCGTCGCCAGGGGCCGTGGTATCGGGCTATTCTCGCGATCTTTGCTTTACCCTTCGGCTGTGCTTTAATGTCGCGAGATTTCCAGGTCCTCCACCTCCTTCGCCTCTCCCTTTGCTGCCGCCTTAACCCGGGACCCGGACTCAGCCGCTCCCCTATCCGAACACCAACCCCGGCTCCACTGAAGCCCCGGTCCCCCAACCCTGCCTCGCCGCCGCCATGGCGGACCCTAAATACGCCGACCTTCCCGGCATTGTGAGTACAGGGCCGGCCCCGGCTCCCCAGGACCGCGCTTCGACCTCTCTAGGACCCCCGCCAGACGCCCACCCACAACCCCTCCCGCCCGAAGCCCCACCTCCGCCCCCACGGCGCGTGCCCCTTACTCCCCGACCGGCCGCCGCACCTTCCGGACTCCTCCCACCCGCCTGGGCGCTGGCTGTCAGATGGCGCCCCAGGCCCCCTCTCTGCCGGGAACCGGTTCCCTGGCCCTGAAATCGTTTCTGGTCTCTACCCCTTGTGCATCAGTGTTTCCACCTGTGTAGACACCTCCCCTGCCGCTCTGAATCCCCCACAAGACCTCCATCTTCTCACCCTACCCCAGAACATAAACTCCAGGCCTCTTGGTGATGGTTTGTTTCCCTCCTGCCAAGGAAGAGGTTCAGGTGGCAGAACTTTGCTGTGTCAGAGGGAACCTCTGCCCTGCGGGAACCTGCCCCTCCCTTCCCCCCTGCATATGAGCCCCTGTGCACTCTCATGGTGCGGCCCTGTCGGTCTCTGTGAAGTGGGGCTTGGGACACAGGGCCTTGGTCCTGACTCACTCTCCTTGTACCAGGGTAGTGGTGTACCCAGTCTAATTTCAGGGTAGCCCTCATCTACGGTCGACCTTACGATTAATGTTAGGGACACCCCCTCACCCAGATTTAGGGTTAACATTTTTGTCATCATTTCATACCCCCGGTTTGCCAACAGTTCCCAGGTGCCTTTGCTGGCACCACCCCTACCCTGCAATGATGTGCAGGGTCCTGATGTTAGAGCCTGATTCCCTGTTGTGTATTCAAGTGGTGGGAGAAGGGCTGGTGGGGGGTATGGCTGGGTGGTGAAGTCTGGTGATCACCACTTCTCCCTGCAGGCCAGGAACGAGCCAGATGTTTATGAAACCCACGACCTTCCTGAGGATGATCAAGCCGAATTTGATGCGGTAAGACTGTGTGCTGCCTCAGGACGCCTCTGGCCCCTGACATCCTTCCTCAAGGAGGCCCTTTCTCTCCTCTGGCAAGCCACAGTAATAAGTGGGTATGCCAACCCCGGACTAGGTGGTTTGTAGGTTTCAGGACTTCCAGACACGGCATGGGGCCTATAACCACCAATAAACCATGCCAGGAAAGAAGAGGTCAGTTGAAGTACAACCAAGAAGACCTCTTCGCAAAGCTCTGATCTTTGGGCCTTTTGAATCTCAAAACAGGTTTGGGGCAAGGGTCTTAGATCCCTCAGTTCTAGTCTATGATGATCAATCATGAAGCCTGAGCACTTGTAACATTAATCACGTGTGAGGTTAAGACTAAGCCTGTTAGTTTGCGAAGTATTTCCCAATATACATAGGAAATAGATGAGGGCTTCTTAAATTTTTTCCACTCTTGACCCCTTTGATAAGCCTGAGAAATTTGTACCACCGGCGAGCGCTGCCAGAGACACCTCCGATTCACTAGGTGTTTGTTTTTGAATTAATTTTTGGTTGTGCATTCAGGAACGTTTTTTCTGTTGCCGAATTTTTCACAATGCCATATGGGATCGTGACCCACGTTTGAGCTACATGAGGGATCGGCACACTTTTGAGACGAGCCAATCCTGTCCCTCACAACAATTTAAAAATTATTCAACAGCCATACATGTACTTTTACAGACAAATGAAATCACCATTATCTGAATAATAGTCTTAAAATTTTTTCCAGTTTTACTTCAGAGCCAGGTGTGCGTACCGAAAGAGCAGTCTGCTGGCCCCTGAGCTAGACTCTGAGGTGTGGAAGAATATTGGATATGGATAGTCACTATCCATTGGGCAAAGAGTAATGAAACGATTTGGAGAGAGAAAGGGGCCCGGGAAGCACGAGATAAGTTTGAGGAAGAACATACATCATTCACCTCAGCAGAAAAGAGACCCTTTTCAGATCCCGAGAGAAATCTAGGCTGCGGAGGAGAAACGGGATAGTGATGGGTGGGTTTGAAGCAGGAGAGGGACCCTGAGCATTGTTCATTGGATGTGTTGACTTTTGTGCAATGCAGAGGAAGGAAGAAGCAGCCCTGCCCTCCAGGACCCCCCACCCCACCCCCACTAATGGGGGAGGTAGGATACATATAGGAAACATGGAAGAAAAACCAAAATTGAGTGAATGAAAAGCAACATAGTAGGAACTATGTATGTAAGTGCCACCGGGGATGGGCAAAGTTCTCTGAGCATATTAGAGGGTCTATTTCAGGGTCTCTTACTTCTAGAGAGAGCTGGGCTGGCGTCACACTGGTGGTGTGAAGTCTGACCAGGAGGCAGAAGGCAGGCTTACTGCGCTTGTCTGCAAGTCCTGTGGCTATGTCTGTGGGCTGGTTAATTCTGGGGAACTCTGGTTGCTGGCTTATAATGTATGGCTTGGCGTACTCACTTATCCTTTATTTGATTTCCCCCTGTGGAAGTGGTTCCCACTCTGGGGAACACCTTCCCTGTCCCCTCTCTCAGTGGTGTGTGCCTTGTGGCTTCTGTACCTGCTGGCATGCCAATCTGTCCCCCAAGCTTGAGTATCTGGAAATCAATGCAGAATAATGGCGTTGCCCAAGGACCTGGCTGTGCACCTGTCAGTCCGCGAGGCATTGTATTAGGAAGCTGCCTCTGGCCTCAGTGGGTGTTGGTGTGGGTGCTGAGAACTTCACTGTACTGCCACCGATCAGATCCTACTCTAGTCTGGCCTTGGCCTCTTCCTTCATGGCAGGGTAGTGAATGGAACTTTGTTAGCTTGTCCATGACAGAAACAAAAGGTTAGTATCGAAGCAGTCCCCTTTTCAGACCAAAAAATGAGACAAAGCAAAACAATGTAACTTTCCTTCTAAAGGAACCGAGAGATCTCTACATAAAAAGAAGGTGACACGCATTGCAGGCATTGTAGAGCCTTTGCCTGCAATTGGCTATTTGGTTCTTGAGTCACTGATGGGGTGCTGTCTAGTGGGGTGGCTGATGGGAAGAGAGGACGCTGAAGTGTTCGTGCTTGTGGCATGTTGCCCAGGACACTGGCATAGCAGTGCTGGGGCCTGGACGGTGACTGCAGGAGGAACCGCATGGCCTCCATCACCTCAGGCTCCACTAAGTGGCTCTCCATCACTCTGGAGGAGTAAATGGGATGGGGCACCTTCAGCTGCTTCAGGAGCCCTGGGGCTGAGACGATTCCCAGTGTCAGCTAATAGGCATGTCCCAGGGGACTTTAGGGAGGGCTGCTTTCGGGAAGTCAGCAGAGTAATGGCTTTGCTGCTGGTCCTGAAAGCGATGATGCACAAGTGCCTTAGACAAGCCAGAGCCCTCTTTGTCTCTGAGGTCTGGATCCTTGCCCGCCGCCCATTGATCCCCTTCACCATCCCAGGTCCTAGCACAGGTGACAAGTGCACATGACCATTGTTGTGGCTGAACCAGAAGTTTCCGGTCACCTCATTAGCTCCCGGCAACAGCATTCTCTGTTTTAGTCTCCAGATTGTTTTCAACTTTATTTAATTTACTTTTAAAAAATAAGTAATAGATACCCCATAGCACAAGAGATTCAAGTCTACATAGTAAACAATCTCTCCCGCCCCTGCCCACTACCGCTTCCCTGGAGCTAACCCATCCCGATCCAATCCCTTGGAAAATCTTCCAGAAGATGTCTAGATTTTTATTTTTAAAACAGGTAGCAGTGACTCTCACTGTCCGACAACCTCCTGCCTGCCTTGGATTTCTCCACTCCAGAAGAAATTAGGCTATCAATGTAGAATGTATTCTCTAATGCCCATGAAGAGTTTAATTGCTACTTCAATTTATGAATAAAACTTTTTCATTTTCACAGTGGAGAAGAGGGAAAAAATTGATAAAGAATTGGAATTTTCCAATAGACAATCCCAATTTTTCTACTGCTTTAAAGCAGTTCTAGCAGGAAATAAAATATTCCAAGACAGGAGTAGGGCAAAAACAAAAACTGAGCAGTCTAGCCCCTTTTGCCTCCATCTGGGAGGATCTCTTCCCTGCATTTTAGACACTTCCAGATTAAGGGGGGTGATGGGTTTGTTTGGAAACAGGTCTTAAGATGTCTGATCAGGAAAGTTCGTTCCCCCATGGGATTCCTATGCCCCTGGGCCACAGCCTGCCTGGAGTCTGCATGACAGCCTGCTCCTGACTTTTGAACTATTGAAGCAGGGAGTGGCAAACGGAAAACCTCCCTCAAAACAGCATTTAGTTTCTCCCCTGCACCCTAGGACGGGGAAATGACCTAGCTCACACTTGGTGGCTCCCTGGCAGAAGCTTCTCCAATGGGTCCATAGTGCTGGTTACCAGCAGCCTGAGATGAGAAGCAATAGGTTCCCTTCCTTAGAGTCTGGGGTATTGTAGAGTACGCTTGATTGTGTTCATTGACTGTTGCCACACTTGAACTTACCTGAGTTTTTCCTAATGCTTCCCCCATCCTCCCTCCTCACCACCTTGCCTGGACACTAGTTTGCACAAGTAAGCCCATTCGATGCTTCTTCTTTGCATGTTATTTTTTCATCTGCCATCTTGCATGCAATGCTCTGCCACTGTGCTCTTGTGGTTAATCGTTTTCTGTTCCAGTAAATGTCTAGCTGGGGCTTGCTGGCCTCAAAGATCATTGATCAAGTGTAGCGTACACCTCAGGTCCATGAATCACCGTGTCGTTCCCTTGTGAGATCTGCAAAATAAAACTGTCCAGTGAAGGGTGGGATGGAGACATGGAGGCTCTGAATGCCATGGAAGAGGAGGCATTGAAGGCAGGAGTCTGAGGCAGCTCTCCCTTCTCCTCAGACTGGAGTAGAATGAGAGAAACGTCACAACCCTTCTTGGGTGGAGGACAACCACAGCCATCACTTCTAATTGCTTCTTGATTCTCCCTGGGCCGGAAATGCATCCCCCTTCCCCCCCTTGTGCTGAGCCTTTAGGGTAGGCGGGGAGAAGGCTGGTGTTGTATACAGTTGTTAGATAACAAGCACTTGGGTGGTTGGGACTTCAGAAGTCTCTGCTTCCTCACCCCTCCTTGAGAAATGGAAGGATAGCCAGCATTGTGTGGACCCATTCTGGACAGTTCTGTTGGACAGCATATTTATCCTTCTTCTCATCGTGATTCTGAATGAAGCCCAGCACCCCACCCCCACCCCCACATAGCTTGGGCTCAGAGCCAGAACAGGCTCAGAGAGCAGCAGTGGCCGCCTCTCTCTGATTGAGAACCTCGGGTCTTACCCTCTTAGTTACAGCCACTTAGCCCAGCAGCCCAGGGGAGTCTGGGAGTCCATTAGTGAGCGGGACTGGGAGGCAGGAACCAGGTAAGCTGGTACCTGTGATCAGAGCACCTGGGATTTTGCCATCAAGGTGACTGTGGTAGACTAGGTTTCCATGGTGACTGTTATTAATCCAGGTTGCAGGAATTATGCATATAACACTCCCACAGACCTGGAGGTGGTATATACAAACTAATACGCCACTTTTTCCTTGTCTTTGATTTTCTGCCTTCCCATTTGGCTTGTTCTGTATGATTTGAAATTGAATTTGTGGCCCATTGTCCTCTCTCTGCTTGGGTTTTTCCCAAGTAAGAGAAAAGACGGAAGTGTGCATCTTCCCTCGTGTGTTTTGCATGTGTGCCCCTGTGCTTCCAGCCAGCTGCCCCGCTGTGCGGAAACATCCCAGCCCTGGCCGCAGCCCCTGGAGCCCCCGCTACCCCAGACTAAAGGACCCTGATAACAGACCGTGACAGGCACATCTGTGCTGTGGTGCCTTAGTCCACCATAGGCTTGCTTAGGCACATCAGCACCCCTAGCCCTCGGACACCTTCGTCTGCTCGTCGGAGGGCTCCTGGAGAGGCAGGGCACACAGCTGCAGGTGTTGAGCAGCTGTACCTGGAACTGGAGGCCTTCTCTGTGCCCCTACATTAAACCGAGACCCCCTAGAGGGACCTCCCTCTTGTGCACACCCAGCCTCTGTGAAGCTTAGGAGCTGAGGGCTAAAGACACATGTTCTGCATACGGCTGGGAGCTCTCGTGCTAGCCCGACATGGCAGGATTGCTCAGCACCCCTCGGCGGAAGGGTAAATTGCCACCCCCATGGAAATGGATACCAATAGGCCAGGCTGCAGGAGACCGGGATTTGTCAGGACAACAGGCAGTAAGAATGGGCTGGAATTCAGTACTTCGTATTTCTTGAAACTCACCATCTGTAGCTGACATTCGAGTCTGCCTAACCTGAATCAAACCACCCCACCCACGAGCACTGGCATCTTGTACCTGAAGCTGCCATCCGAATTGCTGATTCTCCTCAACCTTGAGGAGCCAGGAGACAGCAAGCTGGTGCTGTGACTGAGGAAGGGGAGCTCCCCACCTCGAGAAGTACGAGCCCTCTGTCAGCTCCAGGTCCTCGGACGCTCCTTAGTCTCTGCTTCATACTCTGCCATCTCCACAGCCTCCCAGCCACCTCAGCCTCTTCTCCCTGCGCTGTGCTGCTCATGTCACTCACTAGCTTGTGGCAGCTAACGACTAGCTCTCATGACCCTCACTTGCTGTCACTAACGGCAAAGCTTCAGGACATCCTCACCACCAGAAAGGAAAGGGTCCTACGCTCTCCTTTCTCTTGGGGTATGTGGGGACCCCAGTGGGAATTTCTTGGTTCCACAATGTTGCTAGGCTCCCCAGGGGCCCTGTGGTGTGTGGTGTGTTTGAAGACTGTCATGTAGTGCATGTGACAATTTGCTAATAACAATTTTGTCTTTTTTTCCTCCCCTCCCTTACCCCCTCCCCCACTCCCTTTCCTTTTAACTTTTTTGATTTTCTCACCTCTGGGGAAACCGCAAGGAGCTGGTAAGAAGCTTGACCTTCCGTCTGCTTTTTTAACGGGGTATGCTCGAATGGGCAGTGGTTTTTCTGTCCCGGAGTCTCACCTCAGCCTTCCATCCTTCTGTTCCATGTCACCTCCAGCTGACCACCTTTCCATCACACAGATCACTGTCGTGACACTGTCCCCACCCACATCCCAGATCTAGACACTGGCGGAGTAGGTGCCACTGGAGGACTGGCCTGTGCTGCCCACTTGGGTCTTCTGGGGCCACACCCTCAGAGAGGCACCACGTGGATGCTAGCAGCAGGCAGCCCTCTTGACCCAGGACATGCTCCTACCGCAGCAGGGAATTGTGGGGAGAAAGAGCTGCCTATTCCTCTTGCTTCCTGGACCCTCTGAAATGCACTCTCTGTGTTTGCCCATTTTTACTCCACCCGTCCCTGTTTAAGCTCCCTGAACCGCAGAAAGTTGATGGTTTGAACCCACCCAACAGCACTGAAAGAAAGACCTGGTGATCTGTAACGATTCCGCCCAGAAAGCCCCATGGAGTCCAGTGTGCCTTACAGTGTATTCATGCGCTCGCCAGGAGTCAGACTGGACTCGTCTGCAATAGCTTTGGTTTGGTTTGGGATTCCCTATTTAGGAAAAGGAGCCCTGGTGGCATAGTGGGTTCGGGTATGCATTGGGCTGCTAACTGCAAAGTCAAAAGTTCAAACCCACCGATGGTTCAAACCACCAAAAGAGCTGCTTGTTCGTGGAGAAAAGTGAGGCTTTCTGCCCCCATAAGGTCTCACAGGCGCCCTACCCTGCCCTACAGGGTTGCTGAGTCAAAATTGACTCCAGGGCACGGAGTTTGGTTGTTTGTTTTCATTTAGCCAAATAAGAAAATGTCTTCAGCTGCACAGTGCCTGGCCCATAATAAGGGCTTAACAAACGGTAGCTCTGCGTAATTTCTGTTCTTGGTCTCTAGGTTCTTTGTAAAAGGAAGGTTTGGTTCTCACAGGGAGAGCTCAAGGAAGATAGTTGTGGACAGATAAACACGCAGTAGAGGGGCCCCTCCTCGCCAGCTCCTGGTCACAGTGGATTAAGCCTTGGACTGCTGAGCTAAATTCAGGGTTGGCTGCTTCCCTAAGACTTAGTGTCTTAGAACCCTTAAGGGAACAGTTCGGTGCTCTCCTGCAGGGTTGTTATGAGTTGGAAACAACTCCGTGGCAGTAGGTGTGGGAGTTTGAAGGCGTGTGTGTGTGTGTGTGTGTGTGTGTGTGTGTGTGTGTGTCAGAGATTAAAAATCACAGAGCTAATGACTTGAGACTTAATTGGCACATGGGACATTGAGTCCTTTCGTTATCCCTTATCTTTAGCTTTCCCCCCTCTGCCCAGCCCTTCTTTGAAGAAGAGCAAATGATCCAGGGTAATAGCTTCTCATTTCCTCTCCCTACTGATTAGAGAGGAAAGTTTGTTTTCACTTGGAGTAGAACAAACGTGAACGATGGGGCTTCCTTCTCTTTACTCTCAGTGCCCTACTTTGTCTTGCCCCTCCGTATGCACCCGCCACAGAGGTCCTCAGGCCAGACTGTGTATTAGACTTGCCGGGTAGCTCTTTAACCTAGCCTGCTGCACTGCTCCCACTGCAGAACAATACAAGTTGGGATTTACAGAGGAGGGCCTAGGCTTTCCTGTCCACCTCCCTTCCTCCTCTCCTTCCTTCCTCGACACTAATGTGCAGCCACTGTCCTGGTTGAGGGAGAGAAGACGCGTTCTGCCTTTCTCCTGTGGAGCAGGTCTCTAACGGGTCACCAAGAGCTGCCAGCGACCGGACGGTAACTGACACTAACTGTAGCAGGTAGAGATGTTTTTCCTGACCACACAGGTTGCCTGGTCTCGCTCTCCCTACTGTCGGAACCCTAAAGAAAGCTTTCTGGTTTCTGACGACAGAAAGACAGACATGCAGTCAGGAGGGCCCGGGCCCGGTGGTGGTCTTAAAATCTGGACAGGAAGTAAATAATACAAAGAGAGCCTGTCTGCATCCATTTCCGGGGTGCAGTCTTTCACATTCCCTTCCTATCTGCCTATGTGGGGAGCGCTTCAGTGCTTGAGGCTCATGGGGGGAGGGAGGGAGGGGAAGAGGCAGGGCCGTAGTTTCTGCCTGGAAAGAAGGATGCTGGCTGTCTCCGTGTCAGGGCCTGCAGGCAGGCCCAGCCCAAGGTGCTTTTGCAAGTAGATGTTGTTTGCACTCCTTGCTTTTACGATAGCCCTTAAAAAAAATCCAAAAACCCATCATCATCGTCCAGTCAGCCTTGCCTCTCCTCACACCCTGCCTCCCTGGCGTCACAGCAACCTCAGCTGGGTGCTGGGTCAGTCCTTTTGCCAGTCTTCCTCTCTCTCAGCTGTGCCTGCCGTTTAGTGGGCTGAAAGTCCTGCCGTTCACGCTCAGATCATTGACCTAATTGTCTGCCTCTCCTCCTCTTTCCCTGCAGCAGGGATGGGAGGGTGGCTTTAAGATGGGCTTTTGGGAGGGGGAGGTTAAACGAGGTCAGATTGGTCTCTTGCCTAGAGGAGGGCCTGATGTGTGCCAGATAATTCTGGGAGGGTCCACTTGGATGGGGTGGAGAGTGGGGAGTCTTATGTACAGAGTGGGTGGGGAGGTGAGGCTGCTCAAGGGCCAGTTGGATCGGGGTGTTAATATTTATACAACTGAGACTCCAGATTAAGCAGGAAGTTTCCGTTTCCTAGGCTGAGCCTGGGTTGGCCGCTCTCAATGGAGCTGCCCTCCTTTCCCATTGGAAACATAGGAACCCAGTCTCCTATTAAAGTTGGGGGATTTTGTGGGCTTGGGAAGCTCTAGGTGGAGAGTGATTCTGCCCCTGGTCCGAGTCACCGATTTCTACAGGAGGAGCTGACGAGCACAAGTGTGGAGCACATCATTGTCAATCCCAACGCTGCCTACGACAAGTTCAAGGACAAGAGAGTGGGGACAAAGGGACTTGGTGAGCCTGGGCTAGAAGGTGGGTGGGGAGAAGCCTGGAGGGACGTATGAAAAGTGGCTTCCTATCCTCAGGTCCTAGGGACTCTTGTTTTGGGGATCTCTCTCATGTAGATCCCCGGGGGAAGCCTTCAGGGGAACCTGGGACTTCCCTGAGCTGAGGGCAGTCCCTCAGTTTCCCTTCCCCCCTCTGGCAGATTTCTCAGATCGTATTGGAAAAACCAAGAGGACGGGATATGAATCTGGCGATTATGAGATGGTTTGTTGTGGATGTGTGTTGAGGGGTGGTATGGGGGCCCCCTCTAGCTGACAAGGGAGATAAGGGGACACCGTGGAGAATCTGAGTTCCTCTCTGATCAGGCGTCCTGCCAAACCCAGTAGGATGCAATTGAGAACAGTGCCCCCCGATGTTTGTTCTGGAGCTTATTAACCTGGTGTAGCTCGGGGTTCCTTTTCGTGAGAGACATACCATCACACCTGTATTTGCTCCTCAGCTTGGAGAGGGCCTGGGAGTAAAGGAGACACCCCAGCAAAAGTACCAGCGACTACTGCATGAGGTCCAAGAGCTGACAACTGAAGTTGAGCAAATCAAAGTAACTGAACCCTTCTCTCTTTGCTATGACTGAGCCGCCATTGCTCCCTGAAATGCCTAGCTGGAGTCAGATTCCCCGAGCTGCTGGGGTGGGGGTGGGGAGCCTGACTTGAGTTCGGGAACACACATGATTATATTCAGTGTAACACGTTGGTGCGCCCCCATCCTGATGGACCATTCAGCTAACGACCGTTCAGCCACAGTTGTCCTTCAGGCTCTCGGTCCATTTTCTTCGACGGATCCTGTCTTGCCTCCTCACTGTCTCCTTACCTCTTTTTATACCAGACAACAGTGAAGGAGTCGGCCGCTGAGGAGAAGCTGACCCCTGTGGTGCTGGCTAAGCAGCTGGCAGCCCTAAAGCAGCAGCTGGTTGCTTCCCACCTAGAGAAGCTGCTGGGACCAGAGGCTGCCATCAACCTCACTGACCCCGATGGGGCTCTGGCTAAGTGGGTCCCCTGCGTTGTTAGACAACCATTACTAGCTGGGGCTGTGGAGGGACTTGGCCAGCTATTGGCAGGGGTGCTAAGGAGAGAGGGGCCCGGCTGTTCCTTCATTTGGGCTCTGAAGCCAAAGTGAGGATGTGTCTGGGCACGGCCACATTCTGCAAGTCACGACCTCCCCTGGTCTCCTGACCTAGGCGCCTGCTGCTGCAGCTGGAAGCAACAAAGAACAGCAAAGGAGCTGGCTCAGGGGGAAAGACTGCTGGCGGGGCCCTTCCAGAGAGTAGCCTTGTTACGTATGAACTTCATTCTCGGCCTGAGCAGGACAAGTTCTCTCAGGCTGCCAAAGTACGTACGTATGTAGGTGGCCTTAGGCCGGGGTAGGATGAATCTTGACCTCCAGACACTCCTGCCTCCCTCGGAGGGATCAGCCCTGGAAAGAGGGTGCTAGGAATGCTGCTCCTTCCACTTCTCATTCTCTCCACCTGCTCGGTTAAGATTTTAAGGTCCAGGCTAGGGGTGTGTTCAGGGAAAAGAGACCCTAAGGGATGTGGGTGGGGGTGGGGGAGAGGAGGCAAACCAAGAAGAGCAGGATGTCAGGCTTCCCCCTGCAGCAGCAGGCAGGTGGATGGTGCATCTCACCCCGCCCCCACCCCCACCAGGTTGCAGAACTTGAGAAGCGTCTGACAGAGCTGGAAGCAGCTGTACGCTGTGATCAGGATGCTCAGGTCAGGTGCTGCCTTATACTTAATCTGAACCTCAGGTCCTGCACTCCTAGTCCAAGGTCCACAGCATTCCACATAGGCCTGGGCGGAGGCAGGAGGGGCTGCAGTGAACAGGGGTTCAGCCAGTGGGTTGCCAGCTGGAACCAGAAAGGGTAGGAGAATGGAGTTGTCATGTGGAGATGTACGGGCCACTGATTTCTTCCTTCTCTTTTCCACCAGAACCCCCTTTCTGCAGGTCTACAGGGAGCCTGTCTTATGGTGAGTGTGGAAGGAACCGAGTGTTTGTGGAGTAGGATGGGATACTGGAATTTGGTTTCCCTTAAGGGTTGTTTTTGCATCTGCTGGTGGCACCAAGGTTATGCATGTAGAGAACCAGCGCCAGAATGTTCACTAACAGAAAGCCTTGACACTTGACTCCCATAAAGAGTCACAGCTTGGGAACCCTTAGGCGCCAGTCCCCCTTGCCCCAAAGGCCTCAGAGCTGGAATTGACATGGCGGCACCTCCTAGCAGCAACTAGACATTAACAGATAACTGCCCTGCCCCCTCCACGTGCCCCCACCCCCCCACCCCGCCCCAGGAGACGGTGGAGTTGTTGCAAGCAAAGGTGAACGCCCTGGACCTTGCAGTTTTGGACCAAGTGGAGGCCCGGCTGCAGGTATTAGTGGAAGGCAGACTGGATCATGGGTGGCTTAGGTTTGAAAGCTCTGGGTCCCCTTACTCCCAGCCTTGCAACCTGTGTTTTCAGAGTGTCCTGGGAAAGGTGAATGAGATTGCCAAGCATAAAGCCTCTGTGGAGGATGCAGACACACAAAGCAAGGTCAGGAAGATGCCTCTCCCTCTCCCCCCTTGCTGCCACTCGTTGAAGCCAGGCCTTACTTGATAGTCGCGGTAAAACATGGGAGCAGTGCAGCCTCAGGCCTGTCTTCATGGAGGAAAAACAGCCCTTCTCTCTGCCTAGCAGACTCCTTCCCACCCCAGTGAAATGGCAGCCAGTGTCTGCTTCACCAAAAAACCTCAGTCCACCCCGTGGCTGTTCCTGTCCCTCCAGGTGCACCAGCTCTATGAAACCGTACAGCGCTGGAGCCCTCTCGCCTCCACCCTTCCTGAGTTGGTGCAGAGACTCGTCTCCATCAAGCAGTTGCATGAGCAAGGTGGGCAGCCGCTGCCAGGGGTGAGAAAAGGCATGGAAAGTGGGCCACTTTGGTCCTCCTCCCACAGATTCTAGTCATAAGCATATCCTTCTTGCCCTCTTTTCTAGCCATGCAGTTTGGTCAACTTCTGACACACTTGGACACCACCCAGCAGCTGATTGCTAGTTCCCTCAAGGACAACACCTCTCTTCTGACACAGGTGTGCACGCCTTTACCCCTCAGCCACCTCCCTGCCCTGGCTCTGCCTCCCAAGGTTCTGCCTCACTCTCTTGCAGCCTGCTAGCATGGCAGAGGTTTAGTTTAAGTGTGTACACTGTCACTCAGTGATTCTAAGACATTGGGTGACTTAACCCGTGAACTTCCTCCTGCCCATCTGAAAGTGACACCTCAACACATGGTCAAACTACAGGGTTGAATAAGTACCTGTTATTCCTACAGAGGCTCCCCTGTACTTGACGCTCCCTGGGGTCCTCACCCAGGTTCTCCTTTCTACCTTGGAAAGAATACAGGCTTTGAAATCAGGAACCTGGCTCCAGCCTGGTTCTGCTCCTTCCTTCCTGACCTGAGTGGGCAATGAGCCTCACTGTCTTCCTTCATGCCTGGGCCATGCCCAGCCTGTAGCGGCTCCTTGGATTCTCTGGGAAGCACTCTTCTTAGTGCTGGAGGGAGCTTGAAACACAAGAGACCAGCATCACAGAGCCAGAGAGAAATGAATCAATCTTAGGAGGTTTTTGAGCCAGTAAAACCCTCATTTCAACAAAATATCTTTTGGCACTCTATTACACAAAACAGACCAATGCATTATACTGGTCAAAGTCACGGGGAGCGTTCTTAAAAGCCCTCCCCTCCTTCTTGAGTTAGCCTCATACATACTACTATTCCAAGGAGAGCTTGAAAACGGCTCTCACAAACGTCCCACGGCCCCGTAGCTGTTTCCAACTCGGCGAGTCTGAGGATGTCTTCGGTCTTCGTCCAGGTGCCCCGTGCACCAGGGCCTGGCAAGTCAAACTTCTGTCACTTTCTAGGTGCAGACCACCATGCGTGAAAACCTGGCCACAGTTGAGGGGAACGTTGCCAGCATTGACGAGCGGATGAAGAAGCTGGGAAAGTGAGCACCTTTGGGAGAAGGGGACCATGACGAGTCCCAATCCCTGTGACCTCAGTTAACAGCGTCCGTAGGGCTGTCCCAGCAGTGGTTTCCTTATAACTCTAACTCTCCCATCCTCATCTCATTTGATACTTGGGGGCAAGGGGTTCTTCTTGCATGTGGGGTGTGTACTCCTCCCCTATTGAATACAGAATGGTAATTGGTTGATATTTGATAGTGGTCTCCCCATGGGCCCCAGGAATGAGGTTGTGGGTCCAGCCCACGCCAGCTCCTGTCCACTATGCCTGGTGTAGGGAAGGGTTGGGTCCTGTCCTCCAGCACAGCTTCTGTGGCCGATTGTACAGATGTTTCCAACTATTAAATGCTGTTGTACTCTGTGTGCCCTCTGCTTGGTTTCCTGGAGGAAGAGGCAGCACTGAGAGACAGACGTGTTCACAAACATGATAGGTGAGCTAAGCCGCTCTCCCACAAGAGGAAGATTTGAAATGCAACCTGTTCTCAACAACAACAACAAAAATGAGTACAGAGACAGAGCCAGAATTTCAAAATATTCTCATCTGTTAAATTAAGAGTGTCTCCCATAGAAAAGCAGTGGAGGCCCCACAGGGCAAGTACAAAACAGAATTAAAACTCCCAAGGGTCTTGTCTTTACAAAAGAAAAGGCAGGAGGCAGCCCCTGGACAGCTGGTCATGCTGGCTGCTCCGGTTGGACCACGTTGCATAATCCTCGGTCGCATCATCACAATGTCTCTGAGCATTCAGGATGGGGGAGAAGGGGCAGTGTAGTGTGTATGGAGGAGAGGCCCAGGGGCTGCTCTTTGCCCTCTGACCCCCTTTTTAAAATCCCAGAAGAAAAGTCAGGCATGGGGGTGGGGAGGGGACGGGACGGGACCTGGCTACACCTTGAAATGAGGCTATGTGTTTCCAAAACCTGGGGACAGGTTCAGAGGGGATCTGTGCTTTGAGCAACCTGAGCCAGAGACAGAGGGGTGTTGGAGGGGGAGGGAGGACGCATGATGCTTATTGCTTTGTACCTTTCACTGGGAAGGAGGGCAGCAGCCAACAGTAGCTCACAGGTTTGTAAACTGAGCCTGTTGGCTTTAAGAAGGGAGGCAATGAAGTCCAATTAAATATAAGAGTCATTTGTGCAAAAATAACTTAAACAAATAAAAGACCTGGGGAAGGGGGAGTTCCCCTTAGCGCCTGGTGGGGAGACGGCCATATACCAGCCCCCCCCCCGCCCCCAGGCCTTTTCAGTGACATGGCTTTGGAGGGGAAGGGGGGAGATTCCCTACCCCTTGCAGTGGCTCAGGATGGGATTGTAGGGGAAGGGGTCGCGTTTGTGCTCCGAGTGAGGAGGAGTGCCCCCACCCACTGTCCACAGGTGCAGGTGGCCGGCAGGGACTCCCAAGGCTCAGCACTCAGCTCTCCCCAATCAGGGTCAGATCCAGCTCCAGGTATGGCTGCTACGGGGCCAGTTTCCTCCTCTTGTTTTTGGCAGGACGGCCAGGGCGGGCACGTGGAGGCAGAGGGACAGCCGCCTGGACGGGCAAGGTTGAAGGAAATCAAGGCAAAGCCTTCATACCTCCCTTCTCCCTCTAGCTCTTCCCCCCCACCACCCCCACCGCACATACCCACCCTCCCGTGCTGGCCAGTGCGGCTCACTGAGCTGACAACACTTACGCGAGTCACGGGGCTGGGTTCCAAGGTAACATCCTGGCGAGAGCTACTGCTGTTTCGCGTGGGGCTGCAATGAGGGCAGAAGTGATCAGGACCACCGCCCCCAGCAGGTTTCAGAGTCTGGTGGACCCTTTTCTACATCTGGCTCAGTAAAGGCACAATACCATCCTTATTTATAATGAAATAAGACTCTGCCCTGTTGGAAGGTCACTCTTTGAACATTCTGTACACGTACACATTAGGCAAAAGACAGGGTTGGAGAAGAGACCCAGCACTCACTTGTATTTTCTCCTCCGGCCTCGACGAGACTTTCTGACCGCCCCAGGAGGCACCTGGGGAAAGATGGACTGGATGTGTGGGACAAGTTAGAAAAGGCACCATGCCGGCCCCGCCCCCGCCCCTGCCCCTGTCCTCCAGCCATGCCCCTATCACTCTGTACTCACCTTAAGCTCCTCAGAATAGGGCCCAGGAGGGGCTGGGTCCTTGGGCTCAGCACCCTCTTCAGCTAGCTCCCCATTATGTTGCCAGTGGTGGGTCCTTCTTGGGGACCGTTCCATTTGTCCATTGAAGCTACCACGTGCCCCCCATTTAAGGGCCAGTCGGCCAGGTTCCCTCCGGCTGCCAGGCTTTCGGCCCCGGCCTGGCCTGGCTTCACCATTAATGCCCCTAAGTCCCCCTCCTCCCCGCCGGCCCCGCTTTCCTGACCCCCTCCCAGTGAGCAGCTCAGCGACTGGGGGGTCAGGAGAGCCATGGGGTGGGGCTAAGGCACTGAGGGGAGGCCGGGCAGGCTCCGGTTCAAGGGCTGAGGTGGGGCTCTCAGCGGGCAAACGGGGGGCTTCCGACTGCTCAGGAGGGAGCTGGAGGCAAAAAAATAAAATCGGAGTCTCAAGCCCTCTGCTACTGTAACTCAAGAGGAGGGGGTGTGGGAAAGCGCACATCCACTCCTCACCTGGAGACTCTGTAGTAGGCAGGCTAGGGGACTAGATGCTTCTGAGAGGGGTGGGGGAGCTCCCCCCCCAGGGAGGAGCTGCAATCCCAGCTGGCCGGAGAGAAGAGGGCCAGGAGGCTGCAACAGGCTGGAGAGGGTCCCAGGGCTGCTGGTCAGTGAAGACAGGTCACCTGCAGAAGTGCAAGTCAGGGCTCTCCACAGCAGCCTGAGCCAGTGGCCGAGACTGCTGCCCCACTCCCTCCACCCAGGCTCTCCACAGAGTGGCACTGCACCCCCACCCCCCCTTCTTGGCTTTCACACCCAGCGTCTTCCCTCAGACTCACCCAGCAGGCTGGCACTCAGCAGAGGGCTAAGGAGTTGGGAGGGTCTCCCTGAGTTGGAGGGGGCCTTGCCCAGAGAGGAGGCCCCCGGGTCAGTAGTTGCCGTGGTGACACTGGAGGTAGGTGGTCCAGGTTGGGGGGCACTCAGTACACAGGGCTAAGGAGAGAGAACTGGTGTTGCCCGCACGTGTAACATAACTCAGATAGTCGTTCATCCACAATCTCTCTGAAGGCTCCCAGGAGGTAGGCCATGCTTATTCAACACAGACCTGAGTTCCTGCTGCCATCCTACCCCCAGCCAAGAAGGAACCCCTGGCCCCCACCCCCACCCAAAGGCCCTGAGGAAGAGCTCTGGCAGGAAACCAACCCCTTTGATCCCCAGCTCCCTTCTCTGATTCTACCTCCCTTGTGTCCCACTCACCCCATCCTCACCTGGGGGGGTGTCCCCGAGGGGGGATCCAGGCTGGCAGCCAGCAGCGCGGAATTTAAAGCTATGAGGGTGGGGGGGGCTGAAAGTGGGGGGAAGAGGAGGGGGGGCAGGTCTCCCAAACCTGAAAATGGCTCCCCACTTGGACCCCCGGCTCCCTCTGCAGACCCCTCCCCATCCCCAGCTGTGGGGCCCAGGGCCAAGAGAGGCAGGAAAGAGGCAAGGAGGTTGCTAGGAGGGGCGGAAGGGGGCGGAAGGAGGTCTGAGGAGGGTGGTGGAAGCAAGGAAGCCACCAAAAGCGAAGGTCCTTCAGGCTCGCCGGGGGCTAAGGGAGGGCCAGGTCCTCCAGGTGGGGGTAGCAGGGGCTCCGGGGGAGGCTGCCCCCCTCCCCCAGCCAGCATGCCAAATAAACTGTGGCTGAGCAAGGGAGAAGGTGGAGGCTGCCCTAGACTCAGAGGGAGAGGCAGGGCCCCCAGCATCCCTGGGAAGCCAGCTCCACTCAGCGCCAGGCCCTGCTCAGGGCTGGGGAAAGGGAAGGCTTCCCCACCGGCTAGGGAAGGTAGAGGGCAGGCTGGGCCCACCCCCATCCCAAATCCCTCTGATGGGCTTTGAAGCACAGGGCTGGGGACCACAGGGGCTTTGGAGGCAGCTGGTGGGGCAGGGGCACCTGTAAAGGAAGGCACAGATTCAGCTCAAGGGAAGCTCTTTTTCACAGGACCTGAAGAACCCACCTCCCTGCCCCCAACCCAGCAAACCCAACCAAGGACTCTCAACTCGCCCTAAACACCTTGCCTCCTCTCCCACCCACAGTGAGGAAGGCATCCATGACCCTCATGTACCTACCTGGCACACTGCTGAGGCTGCCACTGGTGGTCCCAGGCAGGGAGGGCTGGATGGGGTGCCTGGGCTGGGGAGGGCTCCCTGAGGAGAGGGTTGGGGGAGGAGGAAGGTGTGCATCTGACCCCAAAAGGTTAAAGCTTCCATCAGAGTGGGAAGGGCCAGGGGTGGATAGTCCCAGCAGGGACAACACAGAGGGGAGGATTGGTTGGGATGGCTCTGTGTAAGGAAAAGGTTGGGGGGCAAGAGCAGGGGCCCGAGGGCGGCTCCTTCTGGGTGTCTGAGGGCCTCCACCCTCCAGTAATCGCAGTACAGTTGGTGGTCGGCGGGGCCGACGCTGCGGAGGATGGGGTGATGAGGAGTGGGCAGCTGAGGGTGCCTGGGCACGGGGCCGGCGGCCCTGTAAAGTGCTGGGAGGGGGTAGTGGGGGGTGCTGTGCCTTGGCTGCCGCAGAGAGTAGGTTGCTAGCGAGGAAGGGAGATGCCCTGGGCCCTTCCACCGTGGAGGCCCCTCCCAGGGGTCCCAGGACCAAGGGCAGGTGCATAGTGGCTGAAGACACTGGTGGCTGAGTGGCAGGACCAGAGGGGGCAGGGAGATTATTGCTGGAGGGCAGAGGAGGAGTAGTTAAGGCATCACTACAGTGGAAAGGAGGGTCAGAAGGGGGTGAGGAGGAGGCATGGGGGGCTGGAGGAGAGCCCAGGTCTGGGGGCACCAGGCTGGATAGGAGGGTAGCCCCCCAGTTGTATGAGGGGGCATTGAGGCTGATAGCAGGTGGAGGAGGTGGGGCTGGAGAGGGGGCATTGCCCCTGGGGAGGAAACAGGGGCTGCTGCCCCCCGAGGGAACAGGGTCAGGAAGCCTCGGTGGTAGGAAGAGCCCTGGGGGACCTGCCAGGGCAGGGAAGGCCTGGGGGACAGAGGGAGGTTCAGAGGGAAGGGAGCCGGGGCCCCCATTAAGTGGGGCTGCAGGAGGAACTCTGCAAGGGGGGCGGATAGGGGGGGGGCCTGGGGACACAGTGTGGAACATTTGGGGGCTTTCTCCTTCTCCTGCAATCAATGAGAAACAAAGGATCAGTCTGAGGCACCCCTTTCCAGAACTCCCTTTTGTTTTCAGTTTTCAGTCTCAGGGCCCCTAAATTCTCCCCCTCCCTACTGGATCCTCTCCCCATGCCCGGCCCTGCCCTGATGGCTATGCTCCACTCCAGGATCCCTCTCCAAGCTCCTCCCACCTTCCTTTTCCTAAGCCTTTAGGGTTTTCCTCAGTCCTCCCCAAAAGTACAGAGGGCTCACCAGGAGAAGAGTGTGAGCAGGTGGTCTCCATGCTGCGGTACAGGGTTGCCATAGCAACAGCTTTCCTCCGGTGGTTGCACAGCTTGGTCATGTCCTCTTCTGATGCTGGCCCCACCCCAGCCCCACCCAGGGTCACCGGGGCCAAAGGGTCAAAGTTGAAAACCTATAAGGCAGAGGGCAAGGGCAAAGACCCTGAGAAGGGCTGCCATGGTTAGTGACTGGCAGGAGGTCTTTGGCTTAGCCCCATAGCCTCTGGCACCCCCCACCATGCTGACCTTAGGGATATTGAGTGGACACTCCAGACCGCACTTGCAGGTCCCATCACTGAGGAGGTAGCTCCGGGTTTGCTCCAAGGAAGACAGCTCGGTGCCACTTGGGCTGAGAGGGCACAAGGTCAGGAGATTAGAGTTAGTAGGCACCAGATCCAGAAACGTTCCTACAGGGCAGTCTGTAACACAGTCAAGACTTCCTCAGGAGCCCTTGGGTGGCAGGGCAGAGGGTAAGGGGTGCAGGAAGAGGCAGGGCCGAGAGGGGGCAGCCTGGTTCCCAGGGATGGAGATGGTGATGGAGGGCAAGAAGGCCAAGGAAGGAAGAACAAGAGTCATGACCAGAGGGCAGCAGTAGCCTGGGTGGACAGCACTTAGGGCAGGGGAAAACTCCTACCTGATATAGAGCACAGCACCCTCTCGAACACAGCGCTGCCAGCCAACAGGGACAGACGTGGCCACCGGGCCCCCAGCTCTGTCTGCTCCACTGCTCTCATTGCCCCCATTCATTGTGTGTAATCAGCTCCCACGTGCCTGATAACACAGACATCCGTGTGGGCACCAGCAGGACTGAGCTGGCCTGGGTACCTGAGGGAGTGCTCTGAGAAGGCAAAGGTTGTGGGAAGACCCAAGAAAGCTGGGGGGAGGGGAGCGCCAGAGTGGCGAGAGGAAGCCTCAGAGCTGGGAGGAAGACTAAAGGGGAGACCTCTTCCACACAGCCATGGCTACCTGAACATCTCTGCAAACATTGTGGAGGCCAATCTAAAGCCAGGGCCGCCTGCTTAGCCCACACCTACAATACAAGAGAGAAGAGGGAGGCTGTCAGGAAGTTGCCCACCACCTCAGGAGGGCACCACAATCCAGAGTTTTCTCAAGGGAACCATCAATCCTTATGGATGTGAGCAAAGTGAATCTGCTGGCCGAGTGAGCTGAGCCCACAGCCATTCTTTCCAAGCCCAGTCCCGAGGGCCCTGTGGGCCAGAGCCCCCACTCGCGGGAAGCAGCAATCGGAGCCCTACCCTTAGGTCCATGAACAGCAAGGCTCCTTTGTCCCACCAGGGCCAGGAGACCTGAACCACCAGGAGTGTGGACAAATTCCCATGATGCCAGGGCACTAGAAGTTCCCCCATGCATCTGTTCCCTCCCCCAAGAGCATATAAAAAGTCCAGATTGCCTAGCAGGTCACCCAGCACTTGCAGGGCTGCCCCCCCAGGTGGTACCTGCAGCACTCCCCCGGTGCCTGCTACATTAGACAACCACTGATCTAGATCATTTGGGTCTTCTTGGGAGACATCGGAGTCACAGCCCTGTCTTCTCTCCCAGAATCCTGAGAAGCTCCTGCTTTGCCCCAACACCGATGGTAAGGGGACTCAGATTCTCCTGTCCCACTGGCTCCAAATTAGCTCCGAGTGACTTCCCTCTGCTATGCGGGGACGCCCCTTAAGTGTGCAAGTAGCCCCGCAAGCTCGCCGTCGCTCCCACACCACACTGGAGGCTTCCAAACTTTCCCTCTCATAACAAGGCGCCCTGTCACCCCTGCCTGCTTCCCTTAGCTTGAGGAGGAGGGGAAGGCGCACGAAGTAGGAAGGAACTTGGGGAGAGGACAGGGCGGTGGGTGGGCGAAACACTAAGGGGAGGGAGGTGAAGAAGGCAGAAGTCAGGCTCTGGGAGGAGGGTTGGCGGCAGCAGGTGAGGGCGGGGGAGTGGGGATGAGGCCAGGCAAAGGGGCCGAAAGGACGCGGAGGGGCAGAGGGTAGGGACTGAAGGGAGAGTAGGGGGAGG